GCTTCGCTATAGACTTGCCCCAAGAGGCCTGAGGATAGTCCCCTCTAATTTTTTAATGTAGGCACTTAGAACTTCCCTCTTATGACTGGTTTTTAAGTGTCCTAGAGGTTTTGTTTTGTTGTATTGTCCTTTTCATTGAATTCCAGGAATTCCTTTATTTCTTAATTTCTCCTTTGACCCACTCATTGTTTAAGAGTGTGTTGTTCAATCACCAGTTTGTGTAGTGACTCAGGCTTCTTCCAGTATTGATTTTGAGCTTTATTTCATTGTGCTCCAATAGAATGCATGGAATTATTTCAGTATTTTTGTGTTTGTTGAGGTTTGTTTTGTACCCCAGTATGTGGTCAATTTTTGAAAATGTTCCATGGGGTGCTGAGTAGAAAGTGTATTCTTTGGTGCTTGGGTGTGGATAATGTGTAGATGTTTTGTTAGGTTCACTTAATACATATTTAATTCAGATGTTTCTCTGATTATTCATTATTTAGTTGACAAGTCTATTATATAGAGTGAGGTACTGAAGTTAATCTGTGTCCTCGAGTCCTGTAGTATTGTTTTTATGAATTTGGGTGCACCAGAGTTTGGTGCATATATATTCAGGATTGCAATATCTTCTTGGTTAATTGTTCCTTTGATCAGAATGAAGTGACCCTCCTTATCTCTTCTGATTAGTTTTACTTTGAAGTCTATTTTGTCAGATATTAGAATTGCAACCCCTGCTTGTTTCTTAGTGCCATTCGCTTGGAATATTCTTTTCCATTCTTTTACCTTACGGTAGTACCTGTCCTTGAAGGTGAGATGAGTTTCTTGCAGACAGCAAAGAGATGGATTTTGTTTCTTATCCATTCACTTAGCCTGTGTCTTTTGACAAGGGGGATCAATCCATTGATATGTAAGGTTATTATTGAAAGATGAATATTGGTTACCATCATTTTGATTGCTGTTTGTGTTGTTCGTCTAATTTTGTGTTTCCTAGATTATACATTTATTTTCTTTCATTGCCCTGGGGTATATTTGCTTCTCTCTCTGCTCTCTCCATTGCTTCAAGTATTCCTTGGAGGGCTGGTTTTGTGGACATGTATTCTTTCAGGCTATTTGTGTCATGGAAGATATTTTCTTTCCCCCTCAACTATAATAGACATTTTTGCTGGGTACAGTATTCTGGGCTGGCATCTATTGTCATTTAGAACTGGAAATACCTTAGTCCAGGCTCTTCTGGCTTTCATCATTTGCATCGATAAGTCAGCTGTAATTCTGATGGGCTTTTCTTTATATGTGACTTGTGTTTCTGTTGGTATTCTCTGTTCTGCACATTTAGTGTTTTTACTGTGATATACCATGGGGAGTTTCTTTTCTGGCCTATTTGGTGTTTTATGTGCTTCTTGTATTTTATGGGTATGTCTTTCCAATCCTGTGTTTTTAAAAATTTTTCATAATCTTTGCTTGAGTGGTTCAATTCTTCAACTTTATCCTCCAATGTTGATATTCTGTTTTCCATTTCATTCATTCTAGTGGTAAGGCTTTCCCCTGTTGTTTCAAATTGACTTACTGAATTTTTCACTTCCTTCATTTGTGTCTGAGTTTTCTTCAATGTTTCTCTTTTGTGAATTCATTCAGACGTTTATCCCTATTGTCTTTAATTCTTTGTTTGTTCGTGTGTTCTTTAAATTCATTAAATTCCTTGATTATGTTTATGATTGGTCTTTTAAATTCTGTATCCAGGGTTATCTCTTAGGGGTTCTCCTTGTAGAATTCTTCTATAGGACTGGTGGAGTTTGGTGGGGACATAGTATTTTTGCTTTCCGTTTTATTATTATTTCATTGCAATTTTAGCATGTGAGCATGTGAATTTTGTTGTTTGTGATTCTGATATGAGAATTAAGTTGAAGTCTGCTTCTGTTTGTATTATTGGTGTGCCTTGGTCCTTTTCTTATTGGTTATGTAAAGCTGGTTGGTCCAGGTTTCAGGTTCTCTCAGGTTTTATTTTGGAGGGAATTGATGGCATTAGATCAGCTTACTCAGGAGCTCCCACAGAAGCCCAAGTCAGATTTCAGTCATGTACACTCAGGCTTCCTTCTAAGGTTTAGATCCCTACTAGTGGGAACTCAGGGCAAAATTTGGCAGCTCCCGAAGGGGGGGCAGATTTGGGGGCTTTCAGGCAGTCCACTGACTTCTCAGCCACTATGCCAGAGGGAGGCTGGTGGTCTGCTAAAATCTCAGCGTTATCCTACCAAACGTGAGATCATATCTTTTAAATTTTTAATTATATCAGTGATAGGTCACAGTCCCTCCAGCTGCCCCCGAGAAATTGGGCCATGCCCCCCTCAGTTCTCTGGGGCAGATAAAAATGTCCTGTGACTTTACAGCACTTGCAAAGAGTTCACTTCTCTCCTTCCTGCTTGCAGCTATGAGCAAGCCTAGCACCCCTGATTCCTAGACCAAGGACAACTTTGAATTGTTACTTTATCTTTATCTAGTGCCTTCCTCTCCTGTAATTCCTGACAGTAGGCCATGCAGGTTAGATCACATGGTATGGAGCTTGCACATTCCATCTCACCCCAAAACTTGTAAAGAATCAGAAACTGCATTGTCCTCATAATTGGAGGCTCTTTTCCTTCAGGACCCTCACCGTGCTGACCGTGGTGGTGGTTTCTCCTAATGAAGCTCTTTTTCGGGAATTGAAGGCTGTCTTTCTTCAAGATCCCATCATGATGCCTCTGGTTTGCTGCCATCTCTCTCAATGCTCTTGGCCTTCCAGGCCAAATCATGGCTGCCCATGATCGTAATGCTGTCTGTCCTAATAAAGCTTGTCTGCAAGGTAATTTAGTGTCATCTCCTTTGACCAACCTACTTTATCTGTTAGTTATAACAATTAGACGCATTAATTTATGGTTTCCAGTGTTTTAGAGAAAGTATACGGTAACAGTGACGGTTCCTTCAGTTTTCACTTACATAGCGTTTCTGAACTTGGACTGGGTTGCTATCATCTCTTTCCTCAACTCAGTCTCCCTGGTGCCTTTTCCTCCACATCTTGCTATGTCCTACAGTTAGCCACCAAGTGATTCTTTAAGCATGATACATATGATTATGTCACACCTCTGTTTGTAATCCTCTGATGTCTCTCAATTTAAAATGAAGTCTGAAGTTCTTCCCATGAAAGGCCTCGGCTGCCTCTCTGTACCCTGGGCATAAGCCCTTCTTTCCAGACTCACTTGGAAATGTTTCTTCTAAATGTTGGTCTTAGTCTCTTTTCAAATGTGACCTTCCCCACACATGTTAGCTCTGTTGCCCTCATTTCATTCAGATCTTAGTTAGCCAGGGCCAGCTCCAAGGTGACCACTAAGAAACTGCTCTCTCCCACTCCCTGTCTGTTCATCACACACTGTCTCTTTACATCACTCATCCCTCCCTGACATTATGTCCTATAATGATTCATTTGTCTTCCCTACCAGCTGTAACCTCTTTGAGGACAGTGACTGCGTGTTTTTGCCTGTACTCTGGCCCTGCTGTGTAGAACAGTCTGATACATGGCAGACTCTAAATAAATATTTGTTTAATGAATGAACTTAAAGTGTCAGAAAAAAAATAACTTCTTGTCCAGTGTTAATAAAGTATTGCTCTTCTGTCTCAATGGGAAATAGGAAATGAACAACAGTTCGTCTGCAGCTGAGTACTACAGAGAGGTTCTGAAGCAAGACAATACTCACGTGGAAGCCATTGCGTGCATTGGCAGCAACCACTTTTATTCTGATCAGCCAGAGATCGCACTCCGGTTTTACAGGTGAGATTTCCAGTCCATTCAAAGTTCTACTTCGATGAAGCAGCGGAAACAAAGAAAGAATGAAAGTGTAGAGAAATTTTGAATAGGCAGTGTGTATATGAATCTAAAAATTCTACCACTCGGTGATTTTTGAGGATTAACAAGATTATCAGTAATTTGGAAATGTGCAGACTGGAGCCCTAGAGAAACGCCTGATGCTTTGTTTTAGCTTCTCATGTAAGTTAGTGTTAGTCATCCAGAGACATCAGCAGTTTAACAGCCACTTAAAATCCTCCTTTTGTCACTACTCTTTTACCATGAAATGTAAAGACCAAGAGGCTGAAAGAGGGACGAGATGGCAGTTACCCACGTTCTAACAAGGACTTCAGTCAGCATCACCTGTTGTGTGAAGTATTGTCAACTTTTTCTAAATATGTTTTCAAAGTCTAAAAAAGTTATGTTCACTAATTCTCTATTGACTACTTTATCACACGTGTGGCTTCTAAAATTCATTGAAAACATTTAAAATTAAATTTATTTATATGTGTTTAGGGGTGCATGTGCTATAGGGTGCTATGGAGGTCAAAGGACAACTTGCTTTGAGTTGAATCTCTCCTTCTACCATGTGGGTTCCAAGGATCAAACCCGGTCATCAGGTACTTTACCTGCTGAGCCATCTCATTATCCCCTAAAATTAATTTTCAAATGATTATTTCAGCTCTTGGGTAATATATACATGTGGATTGAGAGCTGATAAAAGTTCTTTCCAAATACAGGCTAGAAACAAAATATACAGATGCAGTCCAGCCCGAGTATAGCTGGCCCTGCTCTCCACCCCTAAAGTGGGTCATGGGTTTCTTGTGGCAGCTGGCCTGGATTTTCATTTGTGTATTTGAACCCTGTGGGATTAATGATGCATGGAAGCAAAATGGGGCTCTTGAGCTACAGTGGGAAAGCCAAGTGTGGGACACAGAGATCCACAGTAGTCAAGTCTTCCTTGGTCAAAACCCATCGAGGGTGAACCATACCAGAATATACACAGCAGAATCCAGGGTCCAGCTCACTGAGAGCTTAGTGGTCACAGTTCAACACGATGCTCAGATTAGGCTTCAGGGAATTACCTACAGGCATTAAGTCTCCCTGAAGCTGAAAATGTGTCAACTTTACTTTTACTTTCTTCTTTCTAATAAAGCTTTTTTGGGGGAGAAAAAAAAACTCCAAGAAGTTGTTTCTGACCTCATCCTGCACACATTTCTCTATGACAAGTTATGCAAGATAGTCTGTAAACATTTATTAACTGACCAATATTCTTGTGTTAATACTCTTTGAGAGTCCTGAAATTATTTTTTTTAATTTTTACAGAAACTTTATTGAGAATTTCATACATGTATATAAGGTGTTTTGATCAAATCCATTCCCACTCCCTCCCCTCCAACATTCCCCCCTCTTTAGAAGTAACCCTAAAATCTTTCAAGGATTAGATACAAGCTCCCAAATACTTTTGACATTTTTGGCCTTTGGAAAAGACTATGTTGCTAATAGGCCCAAGGACATTATGACTTTTAGCCAAGAAACTGGTTACATTTCTTTGGGGTCTTTTTACCCTAACTGCCTAGCCAATTCCTACCTACTATTCTCTGAAGGGGTTACCCAAATTGCCAATAGGGAATAGGGACACTGACCACTCTGGCTTCTTCCATGCTGAACAGGGACGCAGGGCGA